TTTGCAAACCCTAATAAACCGTCTCAGGAAGCACGGTTCACTAGTTTCTGTCTCGGCACTTACAATAATTACTGTATTTACAGGTCAATTTATCTACTGAGTGCACAAGTACTAAACATAGGTCTACAGTATAACATACAGTGACGGGGTGAGATAATCTGGTACTGGGGCCAAAATCACCTTCCCTTGTCACACAGTGCCAATAGTGTCTAACAGTCCATGCATTCTACATAAAGCTGCTCCAACATGTTAGAGAAACTGCAGCAAAGAGAATGGTCAACTTTCCACCATACTGTAACATCTGTAAAGTCAGAAAGAGGTGTTGTGGGACTCTAATGGTGCAGTGATCACAACATGCAATTTTTTTCTAAATAAGAACTTATGTTTGGCCATTCCAACAGTGATCATCAGAGTAAAGCTGCTGGGTTCTGGCCACAATCCGTTCCAGATAGTGATCATTGTCCCTAGCAGTGATCACTACAGAAAAATAGAAGAGTGGTGGCAGATAAAGAGCAAGTGGTCTATCAAGTCTGCCCCCTCTCCATCTTTTTTTATTTCAACATTAGGGTTTTCAATTTTTGTAGAGACCTGTGTTGATCCCAAGCGTGTTTAAAGCAGAACCCAAGGATGTGCAATAACTGCTCGTTTTGGTCTAGGGGATGGATTAAAGATCCTCAATAACACATGGCTGCTATATTGCTCCCCGCAGCCTCTTCTCCCAGAGAACCGTGAAGCCATCACGTCTAATGCAGGTCTTTTCACTTGTATTAGATGTGAGAACACCGATGGGCATAACACAGCTGGAGCAGAGAGCCAGAGACATGAGCACTGACTGCTGCAGGACCAAGGAACAGGTGAGTCTATTTCCTTTCTTTTCTGGCCCCTAGAGAAAAATGAGCAGTTAATCCTTGCAGTGTAGGGTTAACTCCACTATAAGGGTTAAGTGTTCTGCTTTAAATCAACTTACAGCTTACTGATCCCACCTACAGTTGATGCCTTTTTGGCATAAAAAAGAGTCAATTTTAAGTGTATGATGACATGGTTCCGTTCCCCCGACTCGTACTTTACTACTGTCACCCTGTAGTGACATTTGGGGTTGGAGCAACCTTTCTCAACCAGGGTGCCTTCTGATTTCCTCAGGAGTGCCTTAAAATTTTCACACCATGTCATGCATGGAAGGGATTCTGGAAGGGATTCTGGTCAGAACCCAGCAGCTTTACGCTGATTATCACTGTTGCCATGGCCAAATATAAGTTATTGTTGTGAAAAAAATATGAGGTTGGAGCAGCCTCTCAACCAGGGTGTCTTCTGGTTTCCTCAGGATTGCCTCAAACCTTTTACACGTGTCATGCATTGGAGGGGCAATGCATAGTTTTTTTACATTTTAGATAGGGGTGTCTCCAATTTTAAAGGATGCTGCGACTGGTTGAAAAAGAAAAAAGGTTGACAATTGTAATACATCTGAAGCAATCCATACTGATAAGAAGGGATGCACCGATACCAATACTAGTATCGGTGCCTAAACCAAGTACCCGTACTTGCCCAAATGCTCACAATACTTATGCTGATACCGTAAATTACGCTATCAGGAAGCCGGGCAGCAAGTCATTACCGGACGCCCGGCTCCCTGATTGGCCACGAGGCAGCACGGAGCTGGCTTCCTGGCCAATCAGGAAGCCGGGTGGCTTGTAATGACTCGCCCCCCGGCTTCCTGATTGTACAGAAAGCTGGTGATGAGGGAGCATGGAGCCGGCTTCCCAGCTAATCAGGAAGCCAGGGGGCAGGTAATGAATTGCCGCCCGGCCATCTGGCTAATCAGCAAGCTCTGCGGCAGGTCATTACACGCCGCCCAGCTTCCTTAGTGGGACTTTATTGACAAGTACCGGAAAAAAAATATCGGTACTCGTACTAGATACTAAAAAAACGGTATCGCTGCATCCCCACAAATAAATCCCTTCTTTTCAATTCTTTGGGTGTTGGAACAACCGGTGGATGGAACCACAACTCTGCATACAATGCATTGCTTTATATTAAGCTGCAACAATATCAATAAAGATGACATTCTGAAGCAGATTGGTGGGCAGACAACGCATCTCAATGAAAAAAGATTGAGAAAAGCTGGGTTGGAGGCAGAAAACACAGCACATGGTTGGGGACACAGAAATACGACACACCTAAAAAGTGTTGAATGTTGAAGAGATTGACAGAGACTGCAACATTGGAACATAAGGGATGACAGGTGTCCACCGGAGAGGCAAATATAATACCACTACCCTTCCTTTAGGATTGAACCTTAAATTAAAGCTCTGTGCAGATTTCTAGCATAAGCAGTGCGACACTCACAGGTGACCTAATCAATTAGATTCCTGGGGTTGTACTGCATACCAACAGTGTTCAAGTTTACAAAGGTTCATTTGGAAGGACAAAAAAAGACTGTTCAGCAAATATAAAGGTTTTATTTAATCCTTTCCCATAAGCCCTCATGGGCAGGGTCCTCCTTACCATCTTGTGTTGAATTGTATTGTGATTGTAATGTCTTCCTTATATTGTAAAGCGCTGCACAAACTGTTGGCGCTATATAAATCCTGTATAATAATAATGATGATGAGGTTCTAAATATGGGGCAAGTATGGTCAAATGTTTACCTATTGTTGGCTATTCCCCAAAAAAATTTACAAAAACACCAAAAAGTACGAAACCTCTGAGCACTATTTTCTTCTACAAATCTCTGGAACAGACAGATGTATGCAAAATATAACGGGTGAGCACTTTGTAGCTTATTTGATTAAATAAATAAACCAAAACTGCTCAACTGGTGGCCAAGCGCTAATATCACCCTGCCAGGCAGAGTCACTATAATAAATAAGAGAGGAAAAAGCTTTATCTTGTATATATTTTTCATTTTCACCGTTTACGGATTCCTATGAGGGAGCTGCCAAGGGAACAAAACTCTAAGCCTCAATTATAACTGATACGTACTTATTACTAGGAGCTGCCGCTGCCACATTTGGCACAGTGGGTAGTGTCATTGGGTTAACTCTGTTTATCGCTAGTAAGGGTTAAAGTGTATATACATTCAAAATCGAGTGTTCAGTATGTTTTGCTGTATAGAATTTTCTTAAGAAAACAGTGTGTACCTGTCTTGTATTTGTTTATTTATTTTATTTCAAATGGGTTTAGTGACACTGGAAGCAAATCATTTGTTTTAATCTTTTGCAAAGCTTTTTATCTGGAGATCCTGCCAAGTAACATCACTTCCTGCAATGTTTTTTTTAACCTGCCAGGAGCAGCACTTCCTGTTGCAGGCTGACAGCAATACAGGCAGTCCACGGGTTACGAACAAGATAGGGACTGTAGGTTTGTTCTTAAGTTGAATTTGTATGTGAGTTGGAACAGGTACATCTTTTAAGTGTAACTCAAGCCAAAAAATGTTTTTGTTTTGGATAGCACAGGGAAGGGTTTACCCCCTGTAACGTTTGTTTTTCTGAGTGTGCCCCTGTTCAGAAGATTTCCCCTCACTTTCTGTCCCTGTGACAATTGGATTTTGAAAATTTTGGGTTGTTGTGGATACAAGGATTGGTGATAAAGCTTCAGTGGAGACACCTTTTTCCCATGATAACTCTTACAGAAGTGAATTTCCCTTCCTAGGGGTAGATTTCCTCTCACTTCCTGTTGTCTCAAGGACAGGAAATGAGAATAAATCTTTCTAATGAGGTTACAGACAACAGTAAAAACCTCACAATGACCCAGAAGAAGAGGTGGGCGCCCCTCGTCTGCACGGCTAACAAGAGCCAACTTCCTGTAATGTGCGTACAGTACTACGAACCAGACCCAAAAAGGCGGGCACTCCTCGTCAGCACAAGCGCGGTAGCATTACAACTACCTTTTCTGTACAGTAATAGCCTCCGTTTGTAAGTAGGAGTCGGATGTAAGTCGGATGTATGTAACTATAACTGTATCTATCAAGATAGGTGGCCCAATGACCAGTGACAGAGCAGACACAGCAGGCTGACATGCTAATGGCAAGGCAGTGGCTTTAGTGCTGCTGGCTTAGTGCTGCTACAGGAAGTGCTGCTACTAGCAGGATCAACAGGTACAAAAACATTACATTAGATGCACAAAAAGCCATTTTGGTTAAAGCAGAACTATGTGTAAAAATAGTATTAACCCTCGAAGTGGGGCTACCCCTGCACTAAAAGGGTAAAGGGCTCTTTGTTGTCTAGGTTCAAAAATAAAAAAGTTATGCTCACCCAGTTCTCTGAGCTGACATGCTGTTAGACCAGTCCCTTCCACTTTTACTCCCGTTCCTCTGCAGCAGTCTAAGGATCCTCAAGTCATCACGTTCTATACACAGTGTATAGGACATGAGGATGCCGAGGTACATGCCACTGCTGTAGTGGAGGAGGCAAGAGGCTGGAGGGAGCTCTGTCACAGTTGCCCAACTTGGAGGATCTGTTTAGTTACCCGAGTGACACCATTGGAGGGGTGACACTAAAATGACTGACAGTCATTTTGGTGTCACCCCGTCTAAAAAGTCGGGCACTCTGTCATGGACCGAGAGCTCAACAGTGTCAGGAGAGAGGAGGGGACCCGGCGGCATACCTCATCCCTCCGGATGAACGTCCCCTCCTCCCACTGCAGGCATCAATTAGATGGGCATGCATGACGTCACGGCGAGGTTTTACCGGGTCTCCGCTCCTTGGGACGCCCCTGGCATCGAGATCTTGCTTTTTTATTGTTACAGTAAATGTAAATCTGAACTGGGCTGTAAGGGAACGTAGGCCCTTTTCACATCAGGGTATTTCGCCACACGTTTTCTTTCTGCGCTGAAATGCATGCAAATATAAATCCCATGTATTCCTATGGGGGCCGTTCACGCAAACACGCTGGACCACGGGTAACAATATGCCCATTGTTTAAAATAGCCCATGAGCTTCTTTTGTGGTGCATATCAGCTCGTTTTGCTCTAAAGACTTTTCTGCAGCTGAGACTGCTTTTCATTGGGCAACTGAAAAGGAGCTGAAAATGAGCCTTAAAATGCTCTTACATAAGAACAGAAAACAACTGTAAAATGAGCTGAAACACAAAAAAAAAAGGCTCAAAAACACGCAAAAAAAATGTGCGAAAAAAAGTGTAGAACCGCTGTCGCCCTGGTGTGAATGGGGCCTTAGGCCTCTGCCTTTGACTTTCTTTGTAGGGATGCACCGATATATGGGACGCCGAAACATATCAGCGGAAAATGGCACTTTTGGCTTGAATAAATAAATAAAATATTTAAAAAAATAAATAAAAATAAAATGGAAAAAAAATGGAAAAAGTTAAAATAAAAAACATTTTCGGTTTCAGCTTGACATTTTTTTTTAATTTCGGTTTTGAAATTGTCATTCTCGGTGCACCTCTATTTGTTTGTCTTGTAAGAACACTTTGCTCTCTGAGTTTTGCTCGGTGACGGGTTCCCCTTAAAAACAATTGCCAAGTTCCCTGAAGCAGAAACCAGCTCCCAAAGTCATGAAGGGGTTAAGACCAGACAAAGCTCGGTTTCTGCTCCTTAACACGCTGCGTTCTGAAGCCAGGAAAGCTGCAAGCGAATCCAAGAGTCACCCCGAGCCCGTGTTTTTCTTGAGAGGGCTTCGTTGTTCCAGCTGTACTTGTTGTCTTGCTTGTATCAGATCTTTCATCAAAAGAAGATGAAAAGAAGCCCAGGGATGGCAGCGAATCACTCCTTCCCCATTGTGCTCCTATCACATCTGCTTGTCGAGGAGCCGTCTACATGTCCTTTGGCCAAGGTGGGGCTGGGAGTTCGGCAGGATCGCGTTTGATCGCGGCATGATGAGGGATATCCCAGAAAGGCCGGGGGTGCTGAAAACATGCCGGGACCCCCTTTTGCTAGGCCAAGGTTTAAGGCGGTTAACCCCTGCAGGGACACAAAGGCCACCATCAATGGGATTCTTTGACAAGCTCAGTCGTAAGCGAAGGAGTTAATGGACATTAAAGAAAAAAGCGCGATCAAGTATTGCTTGAGATCCACAGACGCGGGCTTTGTTTAATAATTCCTTATCATTTTCAGATGAGACATCTGATATGCCATTTGTCTACTTATTGGGCTGACACCACACAACATAACCAAATCTGTGCTGTACTTCATGAAACTTTGATCAAAGTTATGTACAAGTTGCACACTGGCTTCTTGAATAGTAACTATGTGTATATGTTAAGCACTGGCTTCTTGGACAGTACCTATGTATAAGTCACACACTGGCTTCTTGAATAGTAACTACGTATAAGTTACACACTGGCTTCTTGAATAGTAAATATGTATAACTTACACACTGGCTTCTTGAATAATAATTCTGTATAACTTACACACTGGCTTCTTGAATAGTAACTACGCATAAGATACACACTGGCTTCTTGAATAGTAACAACTACGTATAAGTTACACGCTGGCCTCCTGAATAGTAACTCTGTATAAGTTACACACTGGCTTCTTGAATAGTAACTACGTATAAGTTACACGCTGGCTTTCTGAATAGTAACTCTGTATAAGTTACACACTGGTTTCTTGAATAGTAACTACGTATAAGTTACACGCTGGCTTCTTGAATAGTAACTACGTATAAGCTACATGCTGGCTTCTTGAATAGTAACTATGTATAAGTTACACACTGGACCTTAGACCGCTGCAGTGGAGGGGGAGAGGGGCTCCAGGGATTGGTCAAAGAGCAAGTCAACTCGGAGGATCGGGTGAGTGTAACTTTTTTCTATTTTTGACCCGACGCCAAACCGAGTAGTTAATCCTTGCAGTGCAGTGGTAGCCCCACTGAAAGATTTAATAATATTTATACCCGGAGTTCTGCTTTAAAGCCTAATTCCAGCTAACACTTGTTAAAGGAGAACTATGGGGTCAGTGTTTTTCCCATAGTTCTCCTTAGGGTAACGGGAGGACACAAACTAGCATCCTCCCGTCGCCCTAGGCTCAGTATACGGTGAGCTACAGCTCGCGGTATACTGAGATGCCTCAGCCGGAGCGGATCTCGACCTGGACGTCGGGATCCGCCCAGCTGCGTGAGTGACAGCTGGCTCTGCCTATCTAGAGGCAGAGCCAGCTGTACCCGCCCCCTCCCCGTCCGTTCTGCCAGTCAGCGCTGGCAGATCGGAGCGGGGAGAGGGGAATCCAGCCCCTCCCCCTGTCACGGCAGAGAGCCGTGACAGGATCGAGAGGTGAGCGAACGCCGGTATGTGTTCGCTCACCTCCCGATCTACTGAGCCGACCTGTGACAGTCTCATTGTCACAGGTCGGCTAGAATTATGAGGTGAGTGGAAATGACTCATCTCATAGTTCTCCTTTAAGCAGTTACAGCAACAACAGGTTTATGCTAATTAAATGAAAGCTGACTGTTGCCAGCCCAGGGGGGCACATCAAAGTTATAGTTATGTCAAATGTTAGCTTAGTTTGCTTAAACAAGTAGAACTTGCTAGAGAACAATGGTCCCGAACCAGTTGCTTGGGAGCTACATCTGGCTTTAAGGTACTTTTTGATGTGGCTCACAAGTGCTCAGCATTCCCGCCATCACTGATGCTTCATTGCCCTCGCAGCATGACAACCAGTGGGATATCTGCCACTCTCATCCCTCTACGGACCCACCACCAACATCAGCATAACTCGTTTGGTGAGCAGAGTGGGTGCAAGTGTGGCTAACCTTTCTTTCTCTTCTCTGCATTGAAAAATCAACAGATTGGACCACTGGATGAAAGACTGCAAATAGCAAGTTTAGTAACTGGTGTATGATAAAGAGCATTTCCTGCAACACTTTGCACTCATTATCACCACCTATAGCAGTGGTGGCGAACCTTGGCACTCCAGCTGTGCCAAAACTACAAATCCCAACATGCATCTGCCTCTGGGAGTTACAGTAATACCTTGGTTTACAAGTAACTTGGTTTGAGAGCGTTTTGCAAGACAAGCAAACATTTCTGAAAAATGTTGCCTTGATATACAAGCAATTGTCTAGCAAAATTTTGTAGAAAAGCACCACCGAATAAGGCTGTAGCAGTGCGAGCGATGAGTCTGTTTAACAACAATGCAATGTCACATTGGATAGATTCCTTGTTAAGGTTTTACGAAATGAAAAATATTCCATTGAGTCAAGAGATATCAGTGATTCCGTTAGTGACAGTGAAAGTCGTCCTACACAATAATCCTCCTCTCTCTTGTCCCCCTCACACCTGCCACGAAGGTACCGGTAATTGGTTTATTTTTCTTTATATTTTATACAGTATTATATTACAGTACAGTATTGTAATCATTGTAATCATTTGTATATGAATATTTTTGTGTTGTGGAACGAATCATCTGAATTTCCATTATTTCCTATGGGGAAATTCGCTTTGATATACAAGCGCTTTGGATTACAAGCATGCTTCCGGAACGAATTATGCTCTTAAACCAAGGTATTACTGTATGTATGTGGCTGTCAGAGCCTTGCAATGCCTCATGGGACTTGTAGTTCCAAAACAGCTGGAGTGCCAAGGTTCGCCACCACTGACCTAGAGGAATGCTACACAGCCCAGTGGTTGCAAGCAATGCTCAGACTGGACCTGCATGGATCTGTGCCCCCCTGTCAGTTTGAAGGCCAAGGCCTCATACATCGGAGGTAGACAAATTAATATGGAATTTCGGAGCCGATCTGTGCAATTCAGGAACCAGCAGGATTTTTTTCTTAGGAGCCAGCTCCATTGATACTGGAGAAAACCCCAAAAGTTAGGCGCCAGCTATAAGTTTTAGGGGGCATTGGCTACCTGGCTCCTGGAATTTGTCCAGCCATGTCATACACACATAAATCCAAAAGGAGCACCCGCAGCCACAGGCATAACGAAAAGTCATAAGGACCCAGTGGATAGTCTTAACTGAAGACCATTAATGCAATAAGCTTCAACAATCCAATTCAGCTGCTCAACACACACCATGATGGGCCTTGAAGAGGCTACCTTCTCTGCACCCCTTGTGTTCAATTTCCAGACGTCCACTGACTTTCCCCCATAGCAAAACTGCAAAAGTGTGATGCGAGACAAACAAGCCAGTAGATTCACTCCCTATTAAACCGTATAACTGAACGCTGAATACACAAGCCAACACTCGAATTACACAATTTCATTCCAATCTTTAGTACTGATAATTATTATTGCCAAGCAATACTGAAGTCACAACTGAGCCATCCTTCCTCCCTCATATTCATGAATGGCAAAAGAGGTCCGGATGCATTAATATTCCTTGCAGGAATCAGCACTATGAACTCCTTTCTGGGTTTGTCCCACGATCTAACAGTGGTGCATTTGTCACTGCTTAATGGGGCAATCAGTAGCTCCACCAGAATTCTGATTTTTTTTCTTCCAGTGCCCAATGTACCAACATTTGGTTACATGACTAATAACCAGAGGCGGTCAGGGGTACTAATTTTGACAATAAAGATTAGTATGTCAGCTTTTTTTATTTATAATGATAGAATTTTGCTTAAATTATCTTACTTACAGCTGAACCCTGGGCACAAAATAAAAATATATTCCAGAAGGATACAAAGCCATCGTCATTGTGCTGTACATAGCCTGTGCAGTAAGCAGAGCTGTGGGAGGGACTCAGCAGGCCCCACCCACTACAGGCTGCCTGCAGAAAACTACAGGGGGGGTGCCGATACAAGACCAGACACCCTGCAGAAGGAGAGAGAGCAGCAGTGACCGGTCTTCATTACAGGAGGGGGCGGAGACAAGACCAGTCACCCTGCAAAAGGAGAGAGAGCAGCAGTGACCGGTCTTTATTACAGGAAGCTCCAAGTGTCACACTGGATTACTGCATAGATCTGGAAGAAATACACAAAGCTCGCCAAGATTCAAGGAACAATACACATGACAAGAATTGAGACAACATTTGCTTATCCCGCAGTCCAGCTTTAACTTTTTAGTTTTGCCTAGAGTCAGTCAGAAACAGTTAAAACCCGTGCCAGCCCTTCACTGCTGTCT